CCACGTTAGGCTCCCTGCATAGAGCCTGCTTCTCCCTCTGCCTGTGTCTCTGCCTCTCTCTCTCTCATGAATAAATAAATAAAATCTTTAAAAAAAATTTTTTTAAATTCTAACATTCAACAATGCTATAAAGGGATTAGAGTATTGTTTATCCTCATTTGTTACAAAATCATTCACTGGTACATTAGCAAAAGACTGTATGTACTTATTAAGTTTTCATTAGGGTGACTGGGTGATGGACACTGAGGGGGGCACTTGATGGGATGAGCACTGAGTGTTATACTATATGTTGGCAAATTGAACTCCAATAAAAAAATATACAAAAAAGTTTTCATTAATAAAACAGATAACTGATCAATAAGAAATTGATAACATTAGACCATTTTTGACCTACAAAACTAGCAATTTCACATGGTTCAACCTAATAAAAGGAACTCAAGTTTACCAGTGTAATCCAACTCATCTCTGAAGAAAGTGCTTTGTGGGCAAATGATCTACTTAACTGAGAACACATCTCAAGTCAAGAGTTGATCTAGGCTGACTGGCAAACTGGTCTGCAGAAAAACTAGTTCTGAGTTGTTTTGCTACAGCAGTAGAGTTAAGGAGATTAAGTAGTTAAACCACCAGATTCCATAGCTCACAAAGCCATAATTACTGACTATATGGCCTTTTATAGAAAAAGTTTACAGACCCCCAATATAGACCATGATTCTCAAAAGTATACTTTGAAGAATCATAAGTCTCTTTAAGCTTTACTGTTTGTAATAAGACAATGTTTATTCTTTGTTCATATGCATATTTGTATATACATACATAAATATACACATACATTATATATAACAACATATATATCTAACATATATATAATTAATTTTTTTAATTATTATTTTTTTTAATTTTATTTATTTATGATAGTCACAGAGGGAGAGAGAGAGAGGCAGAGACACAGGCAGAGGGAGAAGCAGGCTCCATGCACCGGGAGCCTGACGTGGGATTCGATCCCGGGTCTCCAGGATCGCGCCCTGGGCCAAAGGCAGGTGCCAAACCGCGGCGCCACCCAGGGATCCCTATAATTAATTTTTAAAGATACTACCTGACTAATCTTTTATCAACTGTCCATTAATTTGGAAATGGTTTTTAGTTCTAGTCAATCAATGAGTAGATTAAGTTTGCCCCCTTTCATACATATAGATAAACTGTAGCCCACTAAGATTATTAGGGACTACTGATTTGAAAGTCTATCAAGTCACTGATTGACAATCTTCCTGAAACTGCCTCAATGGGTATATTATATATAAAGTACCAGCTTTAATATTTGACTAGAATTGTATAAAGGCTACAAACATGAATCCTTTCAGATACATAAATTTAACTGTTGTTTAGCCAAATATGATTTGGTTACTGAGATACAAGAAGTATTACAGGACTAGAGTAATTAAAATTAATAAACTACAAAAGGGGCACCTGAGGGGCTCAGTCAGTTAAGCGTCTGCCTTTGGCCCAGGTCCTGATATCTTGGTCCTGGGATCAAGCCCCAAGCTCCCTGCTCATTGGGGAATCTGCTTCTCCCTCTCCCTTTGCTGCTCCCCCTACTCTCACTCATGCTTTCTCACAAATAAATAATATCTTTTAAAAAATGAAATTAGTAAATACCATGGACATTAGAATTAGTGAACTAAATTAGCTGAAATTTCCAAGTAGTCCCAATGAGGAAGTCAGTTTCACATGTATGTTAAATGTTGGCTTTGTTCTGGGTGCTGTAATTTGGCACTACAATCATAACACTAATAAGACACCAATATGAGGGGCACCTGGGGGCTCAGTAGTTAAGCATCTGCCTTTGACTCAGGTCATTATCCCAGGGTCCTGGGATCAAGCCCCGCAACAGGTTCCCACAGGGAGCCTGCTTCTCCCTCAGCCTATGTCTCTACCTTTCTCTGTGTCTCTCATGAATAAATAAATAAAATCTTAAAAAAAAAGACACCGATATGAGAAAATTAAATTATTTTTTTAAAGATTTTATTTATTTATTCATAGAGACACAGAGAGAGAATGAGAGGCAGAGACACAGGCAGAGGGGGAAGCAGGCTCCGTGCAGAGAGCCCGATGTGGGACTCGATCCAGGGTCTCCAGGATCACGCCTGGGTTGTAGGCGGCGCTAAACCACTGTGCCACCGGGGCTGCCCGAGAAAATTAAATTAAATACAGACCTATATTTATCTAAAATAGAAGGATTATGGCAATTACTTACATTCAAAATCCCATACTAAACAGGAAGGTCACCCACAGAGAGGTTATCATCTTGACCAAATATTCTTATAAAAGGACTACAGCTTAATTATTTTTCTAAAAGAATTCAAAATTATATAAATGGTAAAGTCTTATGGGAGGCTTACAATATCTAGAAATTTTTTATAATCTTAGTATTACTATATACTAAAATAATAATTATACTTGTAGAACTCTTGACAATTTTTAACTCTTGTCACACATTTCATCAAATTTGATCCTTATAATAACCCCAAAAGCTAGAAAGGATGGATTTTATTATTCCAGTTTTATAAAGGAGATCACTGAGGCTCTGTGAAATTAAGGGAACTTTTTCAAAGATACACATACATTAAGAACACCCTGATACTTAGTACACATCCAGGTTTTGTTTTGTTTTTATAAGATTTTATGTATTCATGAGAGACAGAGACAGAGAGAGAGAGAGAGAGGCAGAGGCACAGGCAGAGGGAGAAGCAGGCTCCATGCAGGAAGCCCCATGTGGGACTCCATCCTGAGACTCTGGGATCATGCCCTAGCCAAAGGCAGTCACTAAACCGCTGAGCCACCCAGATGTCCCCACATCCAGGCTTTTTGATTCCACAAGCAATGTTCTTTTCCATTTTGAAGGTGGGAAAGGTGTGATTAAAGATGTCTCCTATCTTATAGTGAGTTAACTGAAATACACAATATTTAGTTAACTAATTTCCAGGCAACCCAACTTTGAAAAACCTACAGGTTTCCAAGAACCAGATAGGTACATAAAAATTGGTGTTGTTTATAAGAATGAAAACAAGAGAGACAGGTATTAACAAAATCAAGTTTTGATTGTAAACTACATTTGAATTTCTAGTTATAATAAAATTTATTTTTATAGAAGTAGTCTATAATTTTGGTAGTTAGCATAATTTTAGTCTCTAAAGAAGTTAAAAAAAGACAAATCAGAGCTCATTTTTTCATTTTTTCCCCAAAAGTGATGCCTCAGGATTATTACCTACTTTTCAGACTTTCTGTTTAAGAATTTACTATAGAAATATGATTTACTTACATCACCTTAATTATATCATTTCATAAAGAATATATGAATAGCATTTAAAATAGATTACTAGAGGGCAGCCCCGGTGACTCAGTAGTTTAGCACCACCTTCAGCCCAGGGTGTGATACTGGAGACCTGGGATCAAGTCCCATGTCGGGCTCCCTGCATGGAGCCTGCTTCTCCCTCTGCCTGTGTCTCTGCCTTTCTCTCTGTGTGTCTCTCATGAATGAATGAATGAATGAAGATGAATATGAAATAATAGTTTACTAGAAAACAAGACTTGAAAAATTTTGATGAAATCAGTAAGACCATTCAAACTATAAACAATATATTAAGACGGGTACCTGGCTGGTTCAGTCAATAGGGTGTCTGATCCTTGATCTTAGGGTCATGAGTTCAATACCCATGCTGGGTGTGGAGATTACTTAAAATTTTTTTAATTAAAAATAAATTTTTTAAAGTAAAAAGTAGAAAATAAAAATATTAAATAAAGGGGTGCCTGGCTGACTCAGTCAGCAGAGCATGCAATTCTCGATCTCTGAATCGTGAGTTCAAGCCCCACACTGGGTGTCAAGATTACTTAAAAAAATTTTTTTTAATCTTATACATTATATTAAGGAAAAGGAAGTAAACCAAAAGAAATATTTTTGAAAGAATGGCTAAAAAACTATATTTAAAATCCTTTTAACAGTTTAAAGTATCAATTACTAAATTCTTATGTTAAAATGATATTAAAGCTAATCTCCTTCAATCGGAGAAAGACAATTATCATAGTTTCACACATGAGGGGGGAAACTGAGTTGGGAAAAATTAGAGAGGAAGACAAACCATGAGAGATTCCTAACTCTGGGAAACAAAGAGTCGTAGAAGGGGAGGTGGGTGGGGGAATGGGGTAACTGGGTGACCGGCATTAAGGAGGGCACTTGATGGATTGAGCACTGAGTGTTATACTATAGGCTAGAAAACTGAATTTAAATTAAAAAAAAATAAAGCTAATCTCCTACGAAACTTAAGAATATTTCCAACTTCACTTCACTTCACTTCACTTCATATTTCAGGCCAACACTTCTTCCAGCCTTCTGTTATGCTCAACCTTCCCAAGTGCAGAGCCTCTCATATTATGAGGATCAAATGGAATAACACGCAAAATTTCTTTGAAAAGTATAGAGTTGTGAGGTGTCTGGCTGGCTTATTTGGTAGAGCATGCAACTCTTGATCTCAGGGTTGTGAGTTCATGTACCGCATTAGGAACAGAGCTTACTTAAAAAAATAAAGTTGTATACAAGTATAAGATGTTATTTTAATGATTACATACAGCCTATAAATAAACAAAAATATATAGGATGTAAATTTTTAAAACCTAAAACTTTTTACTTAACTGATTTTTAAATTTAAAATTTTAAAGCTCAACATTCCTGGAAGAGGTCATTCAGATATTAAAAAATAAGGTGCCCTGTTAAAAATGCAGATTCACCACATGCACTTACCTGCTTTCCCTTCCCTAATCCACTAAAATAACAGTAAAAGCATAAAACAGAAAAGTAAGCAATTAACTCATAAGTATAGGGAGAGTAAGTATAGTGACAAAGCAGATGAGAAACTTGAGTACATTTTTGGAGAAAAAGTTGTTACCTAAGCAACTAACAACTAATGCTAATAAGCAGTGAGTCAATTATCTTGCAGATAAAGACTCACCATTTGGAAGTGGAAGGAGGATTCATTGAAGTCTATATACAGCTGTCTGGACCCTGAGGCCCCTTCTATTCTATGCCACTCAATGAGAGTTGAGTAAATTGAAACAAGGAAGTTCTGGACTTCAGTAAGACAACACAGCAGAAGACTCGGCCTAAAAACAAAATGATAAAGTGAAAGCCTACATACAGAACTTTGAATGTCAAGTTCTTTTTCCATTCTTTGTTCACCAGTAGCAAAGCATTCTCTCTCTCTCTCTCACACACACACATACACACACACACACCTTTCCATTCCTCAGAAAGGACTGTAACATTCTTTTTTTCTGGAAAGAATTAAAAGCTTCAGAGAAAAGGCGTATGTCATTTGGACATCATAAAGGATCTTTGCCTATTTACTCTAGAGCAAAATTAGCCAGTTGACAAGCTCACTCATATATACAAAGCTTCTGATTAGTTTTGTTAGAGTCTTCCTCTTAAATATAAACAGAAAACCAAAGGTATCTGAGGGAAGTCTCCATCAAGAAAGACCTCTAACCTAAACCCACAAATAGGAAAAAGAAAATAGCTGAAGGAAATTAAGACAACATAGAAGGGAAACAAAACAAAACACAACCCTCTAACTAATATCCTCAAAAAGGAATAATAAAAGAATAAGGAAGGGTCCCTGGATGGCACAGTTGGTTGAGCATCTGATTATTGGTTTTGGCTCAGATCTTGATCTCAGAGTTGTGAGACTGAGCCATGTTGGGCTCTGAGCTCAGCATGGAGTCGCTGGAGATTCTTCTTCTCCCTCCGCTCCTCCCCCTTCTCAAACTCTATTTCTCTCTCTCAAATAAATAAATCTTAATTTAAAAAAAAATAAATCTGAATGTGAACCTTACTAGTTAAAACAGAATGGTACTGGCAGCAGAACAGACACAACAGTGGAATAAATGAAAATAAAATTCACAAAGAGACCCAAAAATATCAAAGAGTAGGTATATATATATGATCAATGTATTAATTTCCCATGGCTGCTGAGACAAATTATCACAAACTCGGTGGCATTAAAAAAACAGAAATTTATCATCTGAGTTCTGGAGGCCAGAAGTGTAAAATCAGGGTATCAGCAGGGCTGGATTCTCTGGGAGGCTTAGGAGAGATGCTTCCTTCTCTCCTCCAGGTACTGGTGACTGCTGGCAGTCCTTGACTAGTGTCAACATAACCCCAATCTCTGCCTCTGACTTCACACCTTGCCTTCTCCTCTGTGTATGTGCTTCAACTCCCTCTGCCTCTCTCTAAAATAAGGACACTTGTGATAGCATTTAGAATCTTCCCAGGTAATCCAGAATCATCTTACCTCAAGATCCATAACTCAATCACATCTGTAAAACTTTACCATACGAGGGGACATTCACAGATTGCAGGACTTAGGACTGGTTGTCTTTGGGGGTCACATTCAGCCCACTATAATCAATATAGCATTTCAAATCAGTAGGAAAGGGATATGTTATTCAATAACTATCATTGGACAATTAACTGTTTGAAAAAAAGTGATTCTTAGTCAATGTAAGGATGGCTAAAAATTTAATGTTAAAACCTTATAACAACATCATGTGAAAATACAGAATGTTTGATAAGTTTGGGGTCAGAAATCATTCTAACAGGATACCAGCACAGAAATCATGTAGTATATTGTTAAAAAATTTAAATTTATATAATAAAGGCACCATAAGCAAATCTTGAAAAGAAATAGCTGGACAAGGTAAGATATAAAGAAGAAAAATTTGATATTTTTAAATTAGAGAACTCATAACAGTGAAAATACAAACTCATCATTTGAAAGATGAAGACAAAAGAATAAGCAATTTAGAAAAGAACATCAAAAATCCAATGAATACACAGAAATGTTATTTAATCTCTTTTGTAACTCAAGAAGTACAAATGAAAAAAAAAAGGAAGTACAAATGAAAGAAAAATACGTTCATCTGTTAGATGAACAATGATTTAAAAGGTTAACAGCTTCTGGGAAAGATGAGGAAATGCATCCATGTTTGCATAATTCCTTTCAATGACCAAAATAGAACCAAAATTAGAGAAGGAAACCCCTGTGCAAAATAGTCACATCTCACAGCACTGATGCTAATGTATAAATTTCAGATACAATGAAGTTTGATTCATATTTAAAGCGGATATCCAAATCTGCCATGCATCTCATCTAACCTCAAAGAGATTCAGTTTTGGCAAATTGAGTGGGTCCTGAAGAACAATTCCAATAATCAATCACTAAAACATGAGTCCTTAAAGGCACAGTCCAGACTTATGGAGGAAGCAGACAGCATTCTACGCGGTACCTATCTCTCTAAGTACTTTAATACCTATCTCCCTCTTCTTTGCCTATTTCCTGGCAAAGAAGACTACTAAAAAAGGGATCATGATCATGATGTTTAAGGTGGGGGATGTTTATTTTCAATTCTTCTAGTTTCCACAAGGACAAAATTTCCATACACCTTCCTAGCCTCTTGCCCTATTACCCCTTAAGTGAGAAACATGACAAGTTCACCACTGGTCCATATTTTTTGATTGGGTAGAGCTAATTTATCAAAAATCCTAGGTAAGTATGTCTATTACAAAGACCCAAAGTTTCCCGTGGGCTGGAAAACGGACATATTAGAAGACCACCCATACTGTATCTTCCAACATTTCTCTCAACAATAAAGCTGATATTTTATCTCCATCTGCCTCAGCTTCTTTCACCTTATTTGAATTGGTTCCAATCTCAGGAGAGAACAAAAGAGCCTAGAGGTAGGGATGCCTGGGTGGCTCAGTGGTTTAGCGCCTGCTTTGGCCCAGGGCGTGATCCTGGAGACCCTGGATCAAGTCCCACGTCAGGCTCTCTGTATGGAGCCTGCTTCTCCCTCTGCCTGTGTCTTTGCCTTCTCTCTCTCTCTCTCTCTCTCTCTCTCTCTCTCTGTCTCTCATGAATAAATAAGTAAAATCTTAAAAAAAAATAAAAGAGCCAAGAGGCATTATGTATTGGGCTCCCTAAAACCTAGTTGCCATGACATTTTTAAGTTTTCCTTGCCAAGAGATGTCTGCAGAGAAACAAAACAGTAAGCTAGTGGTCAACCTTGTCAGCAAACTAAAGCAAAGCAGATCAATCAGAGATATATCAGCATTGATTTGCCTCTGGAATGAATGTTTAACATATGCTGTGGGAACCTGATTAGAGAGAGCATATGACAACTGTTGTCACCAAGCAGACAATTAAAGAAAAGAGATCACGACAATGTGTTCAGTCTCCTATCTTGGCCTCTAAGGCAGTTATTCCAATGGCTTATACCATTCCTGGGCAAAGAGTAGTCCAGAACACAACTGCCCTTTTCAACAATAAATAATATTAAAAAGTAGGACTGGCTGAAAAGGAGGACGGATCATAATATGGAAAAGAGAAAAATATGTACATTTGGAGAACTGCTTCATAAAATAGAATTTTAAAGAAAAACTTTGCATCAGATAAATAGAACATAACTCCACCAAACAGATTTTTTAAAAGAGCTGAAAGAAGCAAAAAATAAAAGGAAAAAAGAGAGAACATTACTTGAAATCATATTAGAAACAACTCCAAGTAGAATAGCTATTTCAGAAAAGCAAGTTAGTAATATGGATGACAAGCCAGAGAAAATCATTCAGGATGAACATGACAAAATAAAGGTGGTTAGATTCTAACAAAGAGGTCAGAACAAAGATGGTAGATTTGTAAGATAAGCCATTTAAATCTAACATAAGTAATATTCTTGGACAGAAAGGCAGACAATATGGAACAGCCAAAATATTCAAGGATATAGAGGTGAAAAACTAAAAGGTTTTTGTCATGTATCAGGAAAAATTAACAGGGAATAATCAAGATTTAAGATATATTATGGGATGTTGCCAAATTTTAAGGATAAAGAAAAGATGTTATTAGCATCTAGAAGAAACAGGGACGCTTACAAATTAATTTATGCTGGCCTCAGACATCTCTTCAGCACATTTAGACAATGGATAAAAGTGAGTACTGTGTACAATGTGAAGTGAAAAAGAATATGACATAGAATTTTCTACTTAGTGAAATATAATTTTAACATTTAATATTCCACTTAATGGATGTACTATAATTTACTAAAATGGTCTACTATTGACATATTTAAATTGTTTCTGGAATATTATTATTTAAACCATGCTGAATAGTAAGAATAAGCATATATATTATTTAAAATACATGCAAATTTGCCTATAAGATAAAATCCTGGAAGTATATTGGCTGAATCAAAGGGTATATGCATTTAAATTTTTCATTTTCCTAAACTGTCCTCCATAGAGATTGTACTGATTTTTTACTCCTACTAATAATGAGAGGAAAGTGCTTATTCACTGCAACTCAGCACACTGCTATTAAATTTCTGATCTTTTTAAATCTTATGGATAAAAATTATTTTATGGTAACCTAATAATTTGGAATTATCATATTTTTTAAAAGATTTATTTATTTGAGAGAGAGAGAGAGTATATGTGAGCAGGGGGAGAGGGAGAAGGAGAGGAAGAGAATCTCAAGCAGACTCCCCAATGGGTGTGGAGCCTGACATGGGGCTGGATCTCACAACACCAAGATCAAGACCTGGACCAAAACCAAGAGTCAGATGCTTAACCAACTGAGCCACCCAGGTGCCCCTATCTTACCATATTTCATCATGGAAAGATACCATCATTTGAAAGGTATACCATTATTTTACATAACTCTATATAAGAAAGAGTTACAAAGTAAACTATTTTTCAAATCTTCAATTTTGAAAAGTATAAAAATTGCAGATTTCAGAAATAATTTCAGAGATGTGAAAATATGAACAGGTGCTTCTTAGAATCAATGAGATATGACATATGAGGAAGACTGAGTATCTGGAAAGGTCTTTTAAATATGCAAGAATCAGGAATACAGCACACATAAATGTCTCCCCAGAACAAATAAAACAAAACAAATAAATTATTTGAAGCCACAATCCATACAACACATATGTCTTTAAAAATGAAGAATTTATAAAATGGAGAAATGG